GCAGTAATGCCTTCTGCACTCCAAAAAGATTGCTGGCACAGGATTGTAATAGCTGTGTTACTGGAAAGCACCAGAGGCACCACTGAGGACCCTCAGTCTTAGCAAAAGGCACTGACAAGTTTGAAACAATTCATACAAACCTGTATGAAGATGAGCATGAGAGCAGAAGCCACATGAAGGCATCCCAAATCTGCCTCTCCTCAAAGAAGAGAGAAGGAAGACTCAGTAAATCTCCCTTCCCTCCCCAGCTGTGTGCTGCTGTAGCTAACATCCCTTTACCCTGTCCTGTGAGGGGCTGGCAGAGCAAAGCCCTGAGCCTCTCTGCCAGGTGGAAGGAAATGGTGGCCTCCAGAGCATCTGAAACCTCACCTTTGCTTGCTCCCAGTGGGCTGAGGGGTCTGACAAAGGTGGCTGCTCACCTGCAGATGGCTCCTCTTTGGCTAGGCTTGCCCTGGGTAGGAGGGATCCCCCAGTTCTGGGGTAGCAGGAAATGCTCGTGTGAAAGCCAAGCTGTTTGAAAAGCAACTGTGTGGAGCTGCTCAGAGGTTGGTTTAGACAGATGAACTCTCAGGTGAAGGATAAACCATGTTCTGTCTTTACCAAATACTATGGGTCCACCTGTGGTGTGTTTGAGATTTTTCTCTTTAATGGAAATCCCCATTAAGGCAAATGTCCAAACATTTTTTTCCAAACACCTCACCCCACTGCATTCTCCTACCTACTAGGAATACTCCCTACCCCACAGTCACTTCTTCAAACATATGTGTGTTTCCACTGGTGCTGATCATGGTTACACACATCTACAGGGATTAGCCCCCACTGTGACATCTTTTAATAAGTTTTTGGCTTTCATTCCACTGTTTTAAATGTGATAAATACCTTAACATGCCTCCTTTGTATAACTGCAGTGGTAAACCAAGTAGTGGTAACCCAAGATCCTCCTGCAGCTGCCACTTTGATTTTTCCAGGGTAAGGAATGTTCAAATAGTTACTGAAACTGCCATGCAAGTTAAAATCTACCCATTAAGGGTGGGCCTGAGTTGAGGAAGCCCCAAATAAATCCCTTCAGCCATGGAGGATAGGAATTATGGCTCTGAAATCAGCCCATTCACTACTGCCAGAGACTGGTCTTCATAGGATGGGATGTGTGGGAGATCTCTCCAGCCACACTTAGCTTTGAAATGAGTTCATGGAGAACTCATGGAGAAATTGTTACAACATTCAGCCCCTGGGAGAAATAAAGATGGTCATTTCTACCAAATCTCAAGAGTTTTAAGTTAATGGGCAAGCAGTTTGTGACTCAGCTTTTCACATGGAGAATGGAAGTGCCTAAAAGTCACTGAGGCCAGAGCTGTGTATGCCACCACAGGGAAGGCAGCCATGGCTATTTTGTTTGGGTTTTTTTGTGTGCATGCAACAGGAATTCAGGTCATTTCTCCTCCACAGCCTGCCAAAGGAGCTTGCTTTTGTCCATAAAAGAAATCCACGTGGTTTTCCCCAGAGAGAATCCCATTCATGACTGAACACCTGTAGCTTGGGAACATAAATAATTTTCTAGCCACAAAATGTAAGTTTTTCAGGCATAAATTCTTTATAAACATCTCTGCAGGAGACTGTGTGCCCCCACTCAGGTGTCCTACCTTCACTGCATTGTTGAGAAGTCGATCTTTTTCTTCCAGCTGTCTATGCTCACTCTTCAGCTCATTGCTTCTCTTTAATAACTTTCTCTTCTCTTCTTCTTTGACTGCAGAAGAGTAAGATTAAGGATGCAAAAGTTAAGAAAAGGACATGGCAAAACTGTGTGTTTGACAACATAAAGCAGGAGCATGTGTTTTGAATGGTGGGTTTCAGATCTCACTAGCCTTTAGTCAGCAGGCACAGCCAAATCAACCTGGAGCTTCTGCATGCATGTGTCTATAGCAGTGGGAGCTCACAGGGCCACCCAAAAGCTGTAATAGTGCAACTCTGACATGACTTAAAATTAATCCTTGGACCACATGTTGTCCTGGAGGCCTCCAAGAAAGAGATCAATGGTATTTAATGGAAACAGTTGGTGACCCTGGCTGTAAAGCACAATCTTAACAGTACCAGACCTCTGCTAAGCTCCTGACAAACTTCATCCAAGGCCCCACACAGCCCATTGTGAGAGTGCAACAAGGAGATAAAAAAAGAGTCCATGCACAGGTAGCACATGGCACCTGATACCAATGGCTGCAACCCCAAATATTACTGAAACAATTAGGAGCTGCTCCTGCTGCAGCATCCTGCATGGCCTTACACTGATAGCCAGGGACATGGCTCTGCCTAGCCTGACTGTGTCTCTCTCTGCCTCCAAGCCTGACAGGAGACTGCTTCAAAATCCCATCTTCAGCCCTCTTCTCAGGAAGGCACCACTTTGGTGAGAGCCTCTTCCACAGAGTGAGGCTCCCAAGAGATCAATCTCTGCTTCCTTAAGGAGATAGAGAAGACAGTGACAGAGCAGACAGAGGGGAAAGGGGGAGAAAGTTTCCTGCTGCTCCTGGTCACAGCCCCTCAGGGACCTTTGCACTTGGTAGCATCACAGCAGCATTTTAGTGTTAGTGCTGTGCAGGACTCAAACACCATTGCCCATCACCAACAGGGAATCCCTTGTCAATAGCTGTGTTAATCCCTACCTGTTTTATGAGTAACATAGGAGTGAACAATAGCCAGAGTTCCAGTCCATGGCACATTGTCATCTTTCTTTAACACCTATAAGCTCAGGAAACAATAAAAAGTTAGGACTCCTCAAAGACACACAGTCCTGGTTTACTCCCTCCAGCCTCACAGCTCTGCAGGACCAGATTTAGGGTCCTTGTCTCAGAATGCACAAGCTGAGAAGTAATGAGAGAATAATTTGAGCAGCCACCTCCACTGGGGCTTACTCCTTCACTCATCACTATAACCAGCCCCACCAAACAGTGCTAAAATGGGGTTGCAAATCCTCTGTTTCTCATTGCCCTGGCCAGAAGACATGATTCTGTCCCTGACAAGCTGATCTGCATGCTGCCAGGAGTGGTGTCTACTCAGCATGGGAGAAGCTGCTGGTCTGTAGGAAAACATGACTGTCCAGCTCTAATCCTGGGCTGCTCTGCTCTCTGCAACTAGAACTTCCCCTTGACATCTTCAAAGGAACATGACAGGGATCACCATGCTGAGCACAAGGAACTCCAAGACACAAAAGCTAAGCCTCCACTCTACAATTTAGTGACATTGTACTGTTGTAGTAATTGTTTTCCTGTTCATGCCATCAGCATTATTCACAGCAACTAGACAAATTAGCATTTCTGACATGAGACTGATCAATAGTTGTGTGTAACACTATTTAAAGGAAGTGTTCTCCTCACAGCTTTCAGATCCACTGGTGAACAGTGTCTCCTTCTCACACTGTCTCCCTCATTATAAGATTTATATTACTTGTCTGGCAACCCTACATGCTGATGGCTTTACTGTGAAGAAGAGAAACAAAGGAAATGAAGAGACACTTTTAAAGGATAACTCTCAGCAGACACCATTACAGGGAAGCTAAGGTCAATGAAAATACCAGAAACAAATGCTGCAAACTGTACTAAAAGCCTCTCAGTCTTACTCTAGCTCATGTAGCCCCCCTAAGCTGTGACCACAGGTTGGATTAGTTTAGTGGAACACAAGGTTTCTCCCAGTTCCCTTTCCTGGCGTGCAGTGCTCCATGGAGCTTACCTTCTGTTGGCACTTTGGACAGACCCAAACTCCCTTGGGGGCAGTTTTGAGGGGTGGGTCCAGGCAGTTGAGGTGATATGCTCTGGGGCAGGTGCCACAGGGCTGCAGGTTGATGCCACGCTTGCAGGCTGTGCAGTGCTCATCGTGGTGGATCTCATTCTGCAAGAGAAAGGGGAGGATGGCTCAAGTCACTCCATTCACAACTTCTCTCTACACAGCACTCAAAGGCTCTGCTGCAGCAGAGAGTTGCATTCAAACATGAAATCTAGTTGGCCAAAGGACCTTGGCTGCTAGAGAAGATGACAGAAAAAATGGTGTAGGATAGCAACACATGCAAACAAAGCAACAGAAGAGCCCAAAGCAGGTTCTGTAAATGGAAAGAGATAGATAGAAAAATAAAAACCAACTAATCAAACACAGGAGGGAGTTGACTGATCTACCCAGCTCCTGACACAGGCATCATTTCACTTGGTTTGGATTCTGTGTCCCTCCAGCACACTGCACACCATGCACAGCTCTGTGCTGAAGCACGACTCAAAGGCAGGATGTATTTGTCCTTCAAGTCCAAAGAAGAAGGATGCAAGCAAGAAAAAGTTTCTGGGGGAAAAAAACACAGTTCCATGTTTTATGCCCACTGCCTGAAGGAGCAGCCATGGAGCTGGTGTGCTCCAATGCAACCTTCTGCTGTGTCCCCTCTCCTGTGAGTTCCTCTAGAGGGCTCCTTTGTCTCTCTCTTCTCCCTGGCACTGATTGTTCTCTGCTCAGACTTGCTCTGACAACCTTTCTCCAACAAGACTGATTAGTACTTTGTCTGAAGCAATGTATAAAATGAACTAAGACTCATCAACAAAGTTACAGTGTCATGTAGTAAATTGCTATGCTAATCTGGTGGCAACGTTAATTACTCTTTGTATAATTAAGTGCATTTTAATAAAGGAGATACTGATTTTAAAACTCTTGTGTCTTCTGAATCATTAATAAAAAACCTGAATTTTCTTGTGCTTTTCCAGGAAGGAGAATAATAATTTTGCACCTCTGTTAATTCCAAAAGCATATTTTCATTTCTAGGGATATTAATTAAAATGTTTCATGATAGTTTTAGTCAGGTTTATACCTTGAATTCTAACTGGGTTCTGTCAAAAAAACACTCTTCAAAATATTGCTCTTTAGAAATTACCTGCTCAGGAAGTTTTAATTTTAACCTCAATGTAAAGAGATTTAATCTATACAAACTAGAACAGTTGCTCATTTTTCTTATTATTTTTCATTAAACTCACCAATCTGGACTAATAATTTCTCCATCAGTGGATTCTACAAAGGGATTCAACTCAAGCCCAAGAGTTCACCTCTAATTTCTAACTGAGGGGCTCAAAGGTTTGGTTAAGTGGGAAATGTTTCACATAAGCAGTAGGAAAAGCAAAGAGAATAGTGAAATTTTGTAACTTGATAGAGTTATAGACAATAATTATTTAATTTGGTACCTTGATAAGAGTTATAGACAATAATTATTTAATTTTGTAACTTGAGAAGAGTTATAGACAATAATTATTTAATTTTGTAACTTGAGAAGAGTTATAGACAATAATTAATTTTGTAACTTGATAGAGTTATTATACAATAATCAGAAGGCAGCACGGTGATGAAAAGGACACTGGTAATAGATGAATTTTGCTACACATACCTTCCAGAATGGATCCTCATTTGCTAGCACATGAAAGAAGGGTAGAGAAGAGATTAGTGGGAAATACACTGCTGCAGTGAACATTAGCTCTCAGCTAGGGGAGCAATTTTAGTCAAGCTGTGACACAGAGGATCAGGACATTGCCAAAAGGAATGGAAGCAGGAAAGAATGCAACAGCAATTAGTGGAATTAGCATTTCAGATGGAAAAATTCACATTGCAGGAATCCCCTCTCCAAAAAGTGTGATGCTAAAATGTCACAGTATGAGAAGCATGTTCTGGTTCAGAAGTTTTCCCACAGAGCTCCTCTCCAGATCCCAACAGTGAAGAAGTCTTTCCATTAGCTCTCAGCTAGGGGAGCAATTTTAGTCAAGCTGTGACACAGAGGATCAGGACATTGCCAAAAGGAATGGAAGCAGGAAAGAATGCAACAGCAATTAGTGGAATTAGCATTTCAGATGGAAAAATTCACATTGCAGGAATCCCCTCTCCAAAAAGTGTGATGCTAAAATGTCACAGTATGAGAAGCACGTTCTGGTTCAGATTTTCACAAGTTTTCACACAGAGCTCCTCTCCACATCCAAAAAGTCTTTCTGCAGGACTTCAGCCTGCTGGATGATCATAGAATCATTTAGGTTGGAAGATGAACAGTCTGGCCCTGAACCAGCAAGGCACTTAGGCAAGTGTTTAACTCAGGGTAGGAAATTGGTGCCACTACTTACTGTTAAACACATGTTTAAATGTTCAGGTGATTCATGGCCAAAATGCTCAGTGACCTGTGGGAGTGAGCTTTATGCTACCATCAACTCTTTAGCATCAACCTCTTCTCATCCAAAATTCCAAGATTTTTTAACCTTTGGATGAGCTGATTCTGTAGGGATTGTATTCACAGCCTGAAAAGAACAAGAACCATCAGGACTCACTGGAAAGCAGGCCATAAAATTTGTGAAATTTGTTACACTTTGGTCCAAAGCCAGGAAATTTGCACAGCTTTATGGAAGCTGCACAGTGGGGATGCAGAGGTGTTCAGACCTCACACACAGCTTCACCTAAACTGGACCAAAGGCTAACTGAAAAGAAGTCCAGGATCCTTTGCTAACAGCATCCAGTGCTGCCACTCCTGTACAGTGCAAGTAGAGAGGAAATACTCCAGAAATATCCTCACAGAAGCTGGCAGTCTAACAGCATCCAGTGCTGCCACTCCTCTACAGTGCAAGTAGAGAGGAAATTTTTCATGGAATTCCCTAACCTCGTGTTTACATCTTCACAGTTATATTTAACAGCTTTAGATATAATTTTTCTTCCATCAGTTTGTCTGTTTTTCCCAACAACTGTAGCATCCTTTGGCAATGAGTTCCATAAATAATCACAGACTTACAAAAATCTGTGGATGTCACTTCAAATACACAGCTACACACACAGAGACCCACCAGGACATGACACCACCATGACTCAGGGGACACAAATTTTATTCAGATAAACAGAGGCTTGATAATTAAAGAGCCTTTTCTACAAATGATACATGTCAGGGGATGTGACCTCATTTCAGGTAAGACATTTTCAGATAAATGAATCTTGATTCATTGACATTTTTTTGCTCAAAATTTGCAAGAATTGTTCTCTTCTGCATTTCTGGAAATGGCAGTTGTTTCTTCACAGGGGTTTTTTAAGTTTGCTTATTTCTCTTTTCAGCTTCCTTTTACTATAAACTTTAAAACACTCAAAAATACATCTGCTTCTGCCTTCTAGTTACTGAAAAATTAAACTGAAGATGATTTTTTTTAAAGGAGCATTTTATGAGGGAACAGGCCATGGGCTCTGCACTGAAGGTGGACAACTGCAGTGCCAAAGCTGTCTGGGCCAGCCAGCCAGCATCTGTCTTCAGTTCAGATCATGCACAGCATCTGGATGCTGTTAAAACCAAAGACACAACGATGAATGCTGGTTTCCAAGCAGCTCTGAGATGGCTGCATCACTGGAGCTCTCTCACTGGCCTACTTCCTTGCAAATAAAATGGGAAACTGTTAAGCCAGGAGTCATGTTCTTTCCACTGAGGCTCAGGTGAGCATGGGTGCTGCTCAGAGGCATGTCATCATAGCTGTTTGCCATGTAATAACCTCTCCTGTCCTCTGAGACCCTATGCACTAGAAGCATATGGTAACCAGACCAATTGTCTGCATCCAGCTTCTGAAGTTCTGAAGGTAGAGAGCAGCAGTGCTGCACCTCTGTTGGTGATCCTGTGGCTCAGGAACTCAAGCAGGGCCAGAAAGGTGAATCTCAACCACTAAACATGACACTTGACAGGGATATCAAGCAATCACTGAAGAACTCTCAAAATGTCATGTCTTAATTGAAATTAGCCCTGTAAATGCTCCTCATACTGAAATAATATTTGGCTTAGAAAAAGGCCTGTCTTGCCTCACCTCTAATGCACCACGTAGAGCCTAAGTTACAAAGGCAACACCAGGCCAAGGACATCATCATTAGTTAATTAATAAATTAAACTGTACTCAGTGTTCTCTCTGCTTTCTCTCCCACCTGCCAACTCTTTGCCTTCTCTATACCTTGTGAGTTTTTCCTGGAATGGGCTTCTCCACATAAACTAATCAGCATCATCCCCAAAGGGATTCTCCAAGTTGTTCATTCTCAAGGCTTTTACCATTAACTTTTCACCATCTGAAGTTCTTGTATTTTTACAAGACTGGAAGGTCATCAAATCAAGATTTATGGCTCCAGCTCTTAAGAGTCAGAAAAATCGTGTGGTTTTCATCCATTGTTTTTAAAGCAAAAAGTATGATAAGTTTCTAGCCCTTGAGGATGGACAGCAGTTTCTTAAAGCTGATAAAAAGATGTAAATGAAATCCAAGAATAGTGATGATTTTTTCAATCCAAATTTTTCAACCTCTATTTTTAAGCCCTTGGAGTTGGCAATGCTGCCTTCTTCAACCTCACTGCATGCTGCTTTCAATACTACAGACTGGATTTTCCACTGATCACAGAGACTTTGGCTCTGTTTCTACAGAGTTTTGACCTTTAGCCTTCTACTTCAATTGTTTTTGCAGGAAAACCATCTCTTTTCACTGCACACTGAAACCCATCTATTTTCCCTGCACATTTTGCACAGGGGCCTACACAAAATAATGCCCTATGCTACCCTAGCAGTAATTCATATGAAATCCTACTAATAAATATTGAACATGTCATTAGGACAGCAGCATATAGCCATTTAAAAAGATGCTTACCTCTTGTTGAAAGGAACAAGGGGTTATTCAAATAATTTGATGCAAGGCGTTTCCGCTAGCAGGGAAAAGAAACCAAGAAACAGTGTCACTGGAAAGTGCTCTGGCTGCCTCTTGCCATTTCAAATCAACCAGCCCCATGAACCTCCCTCACACATAACCAGAAGCCAGTTCTGTGGCTTAGAATATTCCCTGCCAACCCAAGACAAACAGTTGCATCATTTACCTTATTAACAAGTTCGTCGTAGAGCAGTCAGATGGGCATTAGATTTTATTAACAAGAGAGTAATGCAAATTGCCAATTTTATTGATTAGGTTGCAGAGGTCTGGTAGGAGGAAGGCAGCAGTAACTCCAAGGAACAGCAGCTGGCAGGGATTCCAATCTGCTGAGGCCACCAAAGATTTTCAAACTTACAGACCACTGGAAACCTGACTCAGATGTTTGACTAATACAATGCAGCCCATCACCAACTAGTCAGGTGGCAAAAGCTGTTGGCCAGTATCAAGCCAAGCTTCATTTACAGTCTATATAACCCCCAGTTGTTTAGAATCATAGAATTCTTTAGGTTGGAAGAGACCTTTAAGATCAAGTCCAACCATTGAGCCAACACTACTAAGCCCTCTGCTAAAACAGAATCTATTTCTTTGAGCCACCCAGCACTTGTACAGCAGGACTGGAAATAGTAGCAGTTTCCTCAATTAGTTGTTGTTAGGCTCTGCTTGGAGGAAAATTAGAGGTCTTTTGCTAAATAAATGATTTATTCTGTCGTGAGTGAACTATTCTCTTATAAATCTGAAACTTAACTCCTTCCTATGCAAAGAAAAAAACAATAAAAAATCTACTGAAGGTGAGAAAATAGGTCTCTCCATTTCTTTTAAATAAAAGAGCTTTGAAAAGAAAAAGCAAAACATTCAAGTGAGCACCTAAGACCATGATCCCATTGTTGTAATCAAGGAAGTGAGCACTGCCACTCCAGATGCTGAGCTCCTGCCGTTTTCAGGGGCGTTGGCAAATAAAAAGTCTCATTTATATGCAATTTCAATTTAAACAATCATGAATTAAAGATCATTCGGTAGACTAACCGTAAATTAAACTGCACCAAAATGCCTGAAATGCCACAAAATACCTCAACTCGCTGATTAGCAAATCAATTTGAGCAGCTAATTGATCAGAGAAAAACCATCTGCCTCCATTTTCCTTGAATGGCATTCCCCATGGTCAGTACTTAATGACAGCTCCTAATGAGGACACAGCTGATCAGCCACAGGACTCTTTCACAGGCATCTCCTTTTCCATTCCACCCTTCACTTCAGGATATGTTTTTGAGAATGGTTATAAGGAGAAGCATGAAGCAGGGCTGCAGCAGATCTACACCATCACCTCCTTCATCCCTGCTCCAAGATAATGGAATTTCTCACAAACACCACATTACAGCCACAAAACTCTGCTGCAAGGATTTTAATAAACTCATCAGAACAAAAAGCTGTAAGGGAAGACACTACAATAATGCTACTAAGGATAAAGTTCCTACATTGTTAGATACTGGACATATGGACCTCACTATTTGCTCTGAAGAGGCTGCTAGAGAAAAGTTGAGTTCTGAAGAATTCAAGTGCTCAGAGCTGCTCTAGAGCATAAAAATCTCCAATACTTTCACAAACAACAATAATCAAGCCACTAAGCAGCTTGCCCACAGTGGTGCATTTCTCCTTAGCCTCATCTGTCTGCTCTTTGCCAAAAAACACAGAAATCTGAAGTGATGGCATACCAAAAATTCTGCATGGCTTGTACCTCAATAAAGGAAAATCACTTCCTTTTGGTTAAGGAACTCAGAACAAAGACAAATCTTGCTTAAATGGAAAGCTGATCTGAAATCAGTTTCATTCCTGTAGGAAGTTCCAATAGTAACCCCAAGCTGTGGTGAAATTTTAAAGGTGGGATTTTAAGAAGCTGAATAAATGCTCCTATGTCAGTTCAGAGACAAAGGAAAAAACAAGTGCAGAAAAACCAAAGTCTATTTATGTGCTGCTTTTACACCAGGTTTGCAATCCAATGTTATGTAGGACCAAATTTTGTTACTACTGTAATTGTAACAGCATAAGTGTAACAGACAAGAGAGATTACCCAGAGCACTTTATTTTTAATTATGCATTATTATATTTATTATGCAGGCTTCCATACCCCCTGCAGAGAACACTGATTCTTAAACCAGCACATCCCTTTTATGAATGTTGCTAATAAAAAAAAGCAAAGTTCTCCATTTATTATTTGGCACATAGGAAAAAGAGAAATAGGAATGCAAGTTTGAACATAATGCAGCACTTCTGTTCTTCAGTTCTGACCTAAAGGGACTGTCTGTGTGGGTGAAAGAATAATTAGGCCCCACATTAATATAGTCCTTTTGGCCTTTATTAAAAATAAGATGAATTCTAGTCTGAAGCAAGTGATGTTGTGGGGTGAAGACCTGTTGTTTAGCTACTGAGATGAGACCTTTCCTTTCTTTTCCACATCAATATCCCTTTACAAGGCAACGTGTGGTTCTGCATTCATTTATACTTTTGTAATAAGAAGCACTTAAGCCTTTTATTGACATGGAACAGGACTATAGTAGAAAAAGTGAATGATAAAGTACCTCTGTTTCCAAGAGTCCACTGTAGGCTGGATTTGCTGTGCTTCTTCTCTTTCTTTCCTGACGCTTGCTCTGGATTTCTGTAACCATGGAAAGAAGCATGAATTGTGTGTTTCCCATTCATCAGGGAAAAAAACATAGATCTAACTTGTTAAGCAAGATGCTCTTACCCTCAACCCCTTGGGTTTTGTGTTCAGTTTCAGTTTCTAAAGTATAATTGAGTTGAATCAGCATTGGTATTTGCTGCAGTTCAAGGTTTGACATTAATAAGCTTTTCCTTGTAAGACTCCAAACACAGGCACTTTTTTTTTTTCCTTTTCCCTCCAAGGTGGACTTCTGCTGCCCTACAGGATTTTTATGATGATCCCTTCAGGCACATATTCAGTAAGCATTAACAGAGAGCTTTCAAGATACTATCAATGCCTGCTACGAACAAAAATGAAGTATTTAAGGCAGTTAAGCCTTGTAATTCATATCAGATAAAAGTATAGAGATCCTGTTTAAATTTCATTTACATTGCTTTCCTCTCCAGAGGTTAGAAAAAGCATGGTCAGAATGGCATGCCTAGATTGAGTTCTAACTAGAGCATGATGATTTATCCATCCAAAAATACCCCATGTCACAATCCTGAGCACGCAAAATGTTATGAGCCATACATGTTGTTTTTCTCACTAGAAAGAGCAGCACAAAAATAGGCTCATCAAATGCAAGTCCTGGTTCTGAAAAGGGTGAAACACAAGAGAATTCCCCTCTGCTCAATGGTAACACCTATTCCAGAGGGTACTGGCTGAGGGTTGCATTTAGCAGGGATGAGCCACGGGCATGTTCTGTAACACACACACACACAGAGTGAGCAGATTCTTTGCCCCCTGAAATCTGCAGGTTTAATGCCACTTTTATCTGAGCTAGGATTTAATTTCCACCATATGGAATTTCTTTTTCCAGCTCTTGATGCCAGTTCAGAATGGTGAAATTAGTACAACCATGCTATTTTAAAGCCTACTTTAAATTTGGATAATAAAGTAAGAACAGACATACTTTAGCAAGGAGAGCCACCCAGCATCCACCCCATGGCATGAAGTGGGCATGGGTGGGCTGATGCTCTATTCCAAAATGTTTCCTATGTGAATACTGTAAGGAAAGTTTTAGACTTGTTAGTCTAAATGCCCACACGATGGTGATAGCTCTGTTCTGTCTTGCTCTAAGTAGATCTCTCAGAAGGAGAGGAGCTTGCAGGAGGACTAGCTCTTCAGCCCTGAGGACCTGGAGCACATCCAGCAGAAACTCAGGACACTATCTGGTTCTGCAGAAGGTCTGGCATCTTTCATCAATGTCTGAGCTAAAGAGATCTCTCTCAGAACATCCTCAGTGCCAGAAAGTGGCCTTCAGGAGAGCGAGTCCTCTGTCCCACTTGCAATCCACCCATAAGATACACTCCAGCTGTCAGGATGTTTATGATACACAGGAATTGGATTCCCAACACACAGTTCTGGTTTCCAGGCTCCCTTTCCAAAAGTTGGTCACTTCCCTAGAGTAAAAGTGGCCACTCTGCATGGATTTTGTACTGGCCTGAGTTCCAAGGTACTGCTTTGAAACTTTTCACTCATAAAGACTACTGGCTAAGCCACCACTCTTGGACTGATGGGTGTATCAGAAGGAAACTGGATAGACAAGAGAAACAGAAGAACAATTGCTTGTATATTCTGCCTGGGTTTTCCCACTGGCACAGGAACATGTCACCTCTCATGCTCAGAAGGTGCCTTCTCCTTGGGTAATCCAAAAAGCAGAGGCAGATCCACCATCTGACATGAGCTAAACATATGCCCTGAGTCACAACTCAGGGACCTGTGATTCACATTCTCACTACCACAAAATGTGTGACCCCAGACTGAAATCTCCACCCTAAAGCTTCCAGACCCTTGGGCATCCTCTAGAGGGAATCAGGCCTCAGGGTAAGTGCTAGACATGGATCCAGTAGCCTGCCACAGAGCCACCAGAGAGATGATTGTTCTTTATGTCAGTGTCAGTTCTTTTAAGGGCCAAAAGGTGACACAGATACCACAACAGAGGAACCCTGTGGCTTACTGGTGGCAAAGAAATGGAGGAAGTGGCCCCCCACTGGCTCTTCACTTTGGTCTCAATGGAGTGAGATGGAGCAGGCTCAGTAACCCATGCTATGTGGTCAGTGAATCCAGCATCTCAGCATCCTTGTAGCAGCATAAGGAAAAACCTGGAGTCAGGGCAGCCAAGGCTTAGTCTCAGAAGTGGTCAAAGGGATACAAGATTGTGACTTTTCACTGGTCCAGAAAAAGAAACAAAGAATTTAACACAGCAGAGCTTTCTGTGCCAATAAGTGGGTCACGTGTCTTCACCAGAGGGCTGGGATGGATCTGTGGGTCCCTGCTGCTTTGGGTCTCAGGTTTAAGAGGTAATTTCTTCAGTACATGCTCTCACCAAGGCAACAGAAATATCTGATGGAGTCTGAATCACACATGTGGTAGACACCTGGAATGTAGCTATGGAAGAGGCATCACTATGGTGCAGGGATGAAAACTGGCTGGGGGGAAAAGTAACAGCAGTGGGAATAGAGAGAGTAATGAACTGAAACAGCTTGAGATGTACTCCACCCTGTGCAACCATCAGGGAGGGAGGGTGCAACCTCAGCACTTTATCTATGGGAACTGTGAGCAGAAAATACCCATGCTTGTGACAGAAAGAGTATGTACATCTAAAAACATATCTGCCAATAATCACACCACAAAACCACAGGCTGATATACTGCCTTTTGTTACTTCTGCTAAAAGGTTCTGTGTAGATTTCAAAATGGGGCTTAATAAAGTAAAAATGAATAATTTGTCTTCAATTATTAAAACATTCCAGTAACCTAGATAGAAATATTTCAGGGGTTTTTATACAGTAAAAAAAAAGATGTGCATTTTTAGCATAACCTGAATTAAAGAACTCTTTTAAAGTTTTGCCTTCTATCTACTTTTTTTTACCCCCCCACACAATGGTAACACTAAAAGGTGTTCTAACAGCCTAGAGAAAGTGATTTAGTATGTTACAGCCATGCACTGCATCACAGAATTGGGATGTCTCATACCTGAGTTTATTTACTTAAGAAATATAAACCAAACAGAAAAAAAAAACCCCAAACTCTAAACTGTAATATATGTGGCAGAGATGAATAAATTTGAAGATAGCTTTATTTTGGAGGCAAAGCTTCAATGAGCCACTGCATTCATCAATAAACACTCCCCATGGTCATCCTACGAGGCCCATCATGACAATTTATCTTCAGGGAAAACTGCACCTTGCAGAACATCAGTCAGTGGAAGTGGCTGTGCTCATCTGCTGGCAAAGGTCTCAGAATATGCCTCCTATCTGGGCTCTGCAGAACAGAGCTCTCTCAGCAGTAAGGGGAAAGAGACTCCTCTGGACATGAGGTGGGAAGGCTGCTGGGCTGCTAGAGAAATCCAGCCAGGAGTGGATCACAGCCCTTCAGCACAAAATTAACAAATAAAATGAAAAAAAGCAGTAACACTGTGAATTAATGACACTGAGTGAATAAGCTTTTAATGACCCCATCTTGATACAGTTTAATTTCAAAACTGTGGGGCTGAGAAACACATTACAAGTCTTAAAATAAATGGAAGTGTGTAATGACCACTGCTCCCTGATAAATAGCAAAGGCTGATAACCATAAATATGACATAGCACTAAAATAATAACCTTTAGCATGTGGAAGCTGTAAGGGTATTTTTGACAGTTGTAATCACCAATACTCCTGAAGAAATACCCTTTCCACAGGAAATAGCTCTTGGTGGGAGCCATTTATTTAAAGCTAGTAGGAATATAAAAAGTGAATTGGCCTGAAAGAATTGATTCTGCAGGATTAGTATTGCAGCAGTTGGGTTTAAAATGGGCATCTCCACACTTCACTGTAGAGCAGAGCAGACACTTGGTATTTTTTGAACAGAAGTATTAAATCCACACAAACAATTTATTAGTGGCAATAAAAGTGTAAAGAATGATTCAAAATTAAGTTCTCTCTGTTGTTAAGTGTCATTTGCACTTCAGCATCATTTCAAATGTTGTCCTATTTTCCTTAGACAAGGAAAACAAGATCCAGTCATCATTTTGCACTTTTTGGATTATAAATCTTTCCCCAAAATTGCTGGAGCTTTTTAATTTCCATTTCAATCCATTACCATTAAGGGATTAAAAAGACTGATGGTTTAAAGTTTCTTTAAACTGCTTTCAAATTCTCAGTCACTGGGACATTAAATGGTTTTCTAAAATCCAGATTTAAAGAGGAAAGACACAAAAGGGCCCTTTTGAATAAAGGCAACAAGACCCACAAAAAAACTGCTGCATATATTGAGAAGAGACCTCACAACCAAGATGCTATTTGCTCCCTAATTCACAAGCTTTCTTAAAACCAAGGAAGAGAAGCACAGGGACTTTTACTAAAGACAAATCAAGGTATAAAATTGTAGGTACCTCTTCAGTCAGCAAGGTATCTGAGCATGTGCCTAGCTCTGAAGCACATAAAAGTTAAACCCAGTGCACTGGAAACTCCTAAGTGTTTTGCTGATGATGGTCCATGGGTGGTAAATGTCAATTATTATTAATGTTTTAATCCTGAACAGACTGATTTTCTCCCTCTCACCTGTGTTTTCAGAAAGACAGAGCTGAGGCAAAGAAAGGTGCAGGTCTGCTAACCCTTGAAAAGTATTTTTGGGAAGTCAGAAAAGTCAACTGAACACTGCAATATTCAATTTAGTTTATGCACCATATATTTCACACTCAGAAGCCTAGGAAGTCATGCTAGAAGCTTTCACACAAAAGCAGGACCAGACTGGAAGTTTAGGGGTTGGTTTTGTGGTTTTTTGGCTGAACAGAGGGAAATGGAGGGAAGGAAGTCTTTGTGAGAGATAGTTTTCTAAATTGCAGAAAACCAAACAAGTTCTAGATTTTCACCATTATTTTAGACAGACCTTATTCTGTGGGACTCTAGAGATGACAGATTATTAACTCCAAAAATGAAAGTCCATCTCACATGGGGAAAGAGGAGAGAGAGAGCATGCTTGCTACAGAAGATCTGGGTCAACATCTTTGAATCTCACTGAGCCAGATCAGTGCTGGTCAGAGCCTTGGCTGCTTTTTTGCTTCATTATCATCCTCCAGTTGTTCACATCTTCTAAAGGATCATGATGGACTGAGTGAGCTCAAATGCTACTTTATGCCAAGGCTGGAAAGCTTATGGCAAGGTGCTGGCTGCAGGGGCAGTTTTCATGCCCTCTGAGCAGTGCAATGGGAGGGGAGGCAGAGCAAAGTAAGGTCACCCCTTATTTTGAGGCTGAAAAGCAGAATTGTGCATAGGCAACATTCCACCTGGTTCTTCATTGCACTTCAGAGTACAGAATCACCAATCTGTCTTGGCTGTGGAGCCAAGAGAAAAGGCTTCACTCAAGAACTGAGCTGTAAATCAACACATGCCTCTTACCTTCCAAATGTTCTGTTGTAACCAGTCCTAATGCTACCATGAAGGCAATTTTCTAAGGAAGAAATACAGCAGGGTTAGATTTTCTATTACAACAATCAAGGTAGAAGTAAATCAATCAATCAATCTAGCATTGACAGAATAAAAACCAGTAAACATCTTTTAAAAATGTATCTCATTTGAATGCATAGTAATAAAAAGAACTTTAAACTGAAGATTTGCTTCAGATATGCCTGGTCAGTCACATCCTACTTGTATGACTGTATGAACTTTGGCAGTTCAGAGACTTCTGAAGCTAATGCTGTAGGACTACTGATTTTATACAGCACATGATCAAAATTCAGGCAATTCAATCAACTGAATTTCACCTTGCTAGCTGCTTTGTTACTCCACTCATGGCACTTATTTTATTGGGTGTGAGCAAGCTGTATGAAGTCAAAGAAGATATGACACATTTTCATTGAACTTTGCAATACCAAACATGACATTTGAAGCATCTGGAAAGTCCCCACCCCCAAAAAAACCTTCTCCTCCCAGTTACAGAAAGAATATCCTGTGCATGGATTAGGAAGGGGTACACTGATGCAATTCAAAATTCCCTCAAAAGGGAGCAAGTGAACCTCTCACACTGACACTGCTGAACTCATTTTGCAGTGAAGAATCAGATCTCAAAATATGGCTCAGAACTTGTGTACACTATGCACAAAACACATCTTCATACTAATGAACCTTCAAAACATGTTAAGTACTAGAGCAGATTCTACATTTTCTGTCAAGTGTGGGTTTTTTTTATTTTTAAGAAATTTTTCCTTGTGGAAAAAGTTTTGCTGAAGCTTTTATTCCATCTCTTTGCTGGGAAACTGGAATACTGTTGTGTTCTTCCAAGCTCAAACTGAACTGACTCCCTGGTTTTGCATCACATCTGTGGTTCAGATTTGAGGATCTCATCTCTGAGATGTACAACATCTTTGAGGATCTCTTCCTTTTTTCTGTTGTGCTGAACAATCTTGTTGGATCACGTCCCCCAAGTGGCATTTTCAAGAAATTCCACAGAGGAAACAATCTGACTGTGAAACTCAAGCTATTAGGCAACCCAAACAAGTGAAGCCCACAGTCCAACTCTGATAAAGCATCCAAACACCACAGGAAGATGCAATTATCACACTCCCTCAAAAGAATATTTGTAAATTTAGACCAAACTAAACCCCAATCCTTAAGCAACAGAAAATCAAAACGTTCTGTTACAATCAAAGTGTCAGGAGAACATGATCTGAATAATTCCAGGTCAAAATTAGTTTGACCTTGATTGGTGAAAAGGCTTTTTCATTGTGAAATCCTACAAAAAAACCCTTTTCATTTCAGCTCAGGATAAAATCAGTTACTAAGCCACAAGAACTACCTTTTCCTTAGCAATTCTGACTTTCACACAATGAAATTGGGCAAGCAAGCACATCCTCATTTTGTAGATTAAAAGATCTCACTGTGGGGTGGGCTCTTCAAAACTTGAGGGTCAGAACTGGACACCTATAACCCTCTTATATATGTGAAAATATCTCTGTCCAACAGGTGAAATAGCAATATCCTAAGAGAGGAATATTTTCTTTCCACAATCTCCTAGTATGTAATTCTCCCTGTATATTAAAAAAAAATGGTGATGCTGAATCTCATCCCTGGCAATTTAGATATATTCATGCTGTATTTCTGCTTCCCTAACTGTGGTAATGACAAGCCCATGGGTTCATTTGCATGTCAGACCTTGATTTCAATAGCATTCACTCCTTAAATGTCTAAAATACCAGCAAGTCACAGTGGGGGCTCCACACCTGAAGGGAAAGATGAAGATTTGATCCACTGTACCAATCTGAGAAGAAAATTAGTCAATTTAGTAGAATGACAAAGCTTCACCTCACCCTCACCAAAAGTAACTTGGTGCCAGGATATATCCTGGTGCTCTGAGCCCAAGTAGAAACTTTTTTAAAAAGTCCCATGGAGAAGCTGTATTATTTTTAAGACATATATTATATTAACAGCATATTTTTGTGGGTTTTTTTTTCACTCCTGTAGCTCCTTTGATTCAACTCAAAATACTCCTTCCACTGCAAGGTCTTTCTTTCAGATATTCCTGAGTCTATTTCTGTTTCTTCTCTGTATAGGCATCTACAAAGCTGAGGCTGGAGTTTATCCAGATTTTCAAACCAGGCTTAACACTAATATTCAATTCCCAATTGCAATTTCTCTTGTCCTTCTTAGGTGGCATTAAAACCATTGTTAGCTAAATAAACAGCATTTTTGGCAGTAATTTTTCTGTCAAACAGAAAACTGCTAGAACCTGAAGGAAAAAAAAATGTTGTAAATAGAAAATTTTACTAATATAAAAACTTTTAAAAGGCAAAAAGTTCTGGGTAGAATTCTGTTTTTTTCTTTGCTGAACTCTGTGGGTTTTTTTTTAAAAAAGACAACATGAAACCAAACAACCCCTTGGTCCCCAGAGGAGCTGCTCCCCTAAACAATTCCTTCATTTCTCTGCAGAAGTCATGCTGGTGGGAGAAGGTCCATGACTAGATGGGCAGTTGGTGGCCTCCAGCCCCAGCAGAGCCCCACTGGCAGCACAAAGCAGGTGGCCCCACTCTTCCAGACCCTCCTCATCCTCAGGGGGATTGCACCCTCACAGCTCATATCCCAGGAGAGGGCTCTGACCACTGGACCTGGAACACCCAGGGAATGACTGAACCAGGAACAAAAGACAGTAATTATCCCAAATCTCTTCTGTTGGTGCAGGTACACTCAGTAGCTGCAGATGGGACTCCTGGCTACTGGGAAATCTTGGGATTTCTGGTTTATTTCTTTTCAATTTTCAATTTGATTTGTTAAACCCTAGCCTGTCATGACTAACATTTATGTCGAGTCATGCTGGAGTTCCTGTCACAGTTTTGTGCTTTGAAGATAAATAAAGGTGTGGAAAGAAGTGCCTAGAGTGCTTATTCTCTTTTTAAAAATATCATGGTGTCTTTGTTACTCTTTGCCTTAGATTTAATCATCTGTTTAAAAGCCAAGAGTGCTTCTAGAAACCTGCAGTGTGTCTTTTCATGGAGCAAACCAGAGATTTTTACAAAACCATTTCATTTTGTAATTACATGTTCTATTTATGTCATCACATGTATTTACACTAATTATGCTGTTAGTTCTAATTACACTAATTGCATAAATACATGATAATCGACTGAAGTTTACTTTCAAAGAACAAAAGAAATTAACTCTAGACCTACATATTTACAGCCCTGAAATAAATCCATTAGAAGAAAAGAACTGTCACACTTAAGGGCATAGCTTCAGCAATCCACCCAGAAAATTGTGCTTGAGACCTCCTGTATGCACAGTAGGAAAAAAAGCTCTTGGTTACCAAAAAAAAAAAGCAATTAGGATATCCTAGTTAGCCATTTAATGTAAAGCTCATTAAATTTATCAATGCTATACCAGCAAGTGTGTCCAGCCCCATGGTCTCTTCCTGCCTCTGTCTGGAAGATTCTTGCTCAATACTCTTTCAGTTTTGATAGGTTAGAGCAAAGAAAAATGGGTGTTTTTTCTAGCATTCTGTTTTTAAGAAGGATTTATTAGCCTTCCTGCCCATAAGGTGCTACACAATAACCTTTTGGAAATACCTCCCTAACCAAAACAGGATCCATCATTCAGTGGCAATGAAGATTCATATGAGGGTCAGGTCCTAAACTTGGGAGGTTTCCTAAATGGAGTTCCACAGAACTTCTGCAGAAAGCTGGGATCTTCTAGGCTAGAAGCCTAGAATGCTGTTTGAACTATACCCACCTCTCAACATGGTAAAGCACCACCCACATGCCTCAAGTCACATCATCAATTTACATTGTAATGATCCCCTTAAACCTACAGCTCCAAGGGTGCTTTCCTGCTACACATTTATTAGACTACTGAGGTTGAGCTGAGAATTTCCACAGCAGAAGTAGACTCAGTTTGTGGAACTTCTCAAACTGCCTCACAAGTACACCCAAACTAATGGGAATACATCTAGCCAAAAATGAAAATTACTGATAAAAAGAAACCCCATTTCTGCAAGGGCTTCTGATTTATATTTTCAGTTTACATCTCAAATAGAATTCATGGAATTATTATATATTTATTATAATGTATTTATATTTATTTATACAATTATTATATAATTAATCTTTTCACATCCTTTCGACTCTCTGACTCATTTTGAAAGATTTGAATGTGTTTCAGACAAGAAGGCATCTGTGTACACATGGGGAGACATGTACACAGCAAAGGCAAGAAACTGCACTGTTAAATACAATCTAAAAATTGCAAGACTCATCAGGAAGATGTAAAAGCTCAGCTTGCCAAAGCAATGTTAATTCAACCCCATATGCAGCCTGAAAATCTGATATATTTGCTAACATAAAAGATTTATACATCTTATTTATATTATTTAAAGGTATCTTAAATATTGTATATACCTTGCATACACCTTTCACAAAAAATACAGCTACACCCACACACAGTGCCTGGTTTATTATCAATTCTGACTTTTCTGTGACACTGAAAGGTTTGAAAGATGCAAATCAAATTTGTCAGAGCACCTCACTGGTGGGGGAATCACCTCGACTGCAGGGACTGGGTAGAGGGATGAAGAGCAGGCAGAACCATAAGCACAAATGCAATAATCACACAGGCACACAGAAAACTCCTTAGAATTGGCCCCCATAACTTAACTGTACTGTAGCTCACTTATTTAACAACAAAAAATAAAACAAATCACCTCTGGATTTTCCTCCTTTTTCTTTTTGGTAGCAGGGGGTCCCTGAGCTGACTCTTCAGGAGGTTTCTTTGTCTCCACTTTACTTTCTGTCTGAGTTTGGACTTGAGGCTGAATAATGATAACCTAAAAGACAATGTACAAACAAAAGAGTAGAATTCACTATATGAAACTGGATTTTTTCTGCCTGAAAGCTTTGATTTTTCCTTGAAGGGTTACTTGATACCCCTAAAGACAACAAATGTTAAGTCACAAGCAAAAATATAAAAAGCTGGATACTAAGCTAGGCTTCTAAATCCATACTTAATTCTCTAAAAAGTTAATTTTCACTGGTGCATTATAAACCTACTGCAGCCTAAGGGAGCCACTTGATCAGTTCCTCTGAAAATGAGGATACTTTCTATTTAGAGGACTTCTAAGCTGACTCAGCAGCCTAGCTCTAGCACTCGTGTTGTCAGTGATCTTGAAGTCTTTCCTTTGATTTTATTTTGCATATAGGTAGAAGAGGCAGAACTGCTAAACATTCAAAAGCACAGTCTGATCTCAGTCATACCAGTGTTATTTCACAGCAAGTACATGTGGATGGGAAGGAAGACACTTCTGAGTGCTACTCATATACCTGAGATCAGAGTGCAGTCTTCAGCATTTATGTTATGAGCAGTGGATATCCAGTTCTGCATAAAGAAAATAAACTATATGTGCTTGAAAATAAAAAGAATTCTGTCTTAAAACCTGTAGGAATTACTCCATAGATCTCTTATACATCCATGTATGTTAGTATATCCAGCTGCTCGTACTTGAATTACCACATAAAGGGTCACTTTGCTTAACCAGTAGCCAGTTTAAATAAGAGAAATATAAATTATATCAGAGAACTGGGGAAGAGATGTCTCCTTTTGTTTACCTCAAAAGCCATCCTACATCCTGTACTCTCTTTTAGCACTGTATGAGAACCTGCACTGACAAACAGACTCAAAGTAGCAGGATCCCAGTAGCAGATTACAGTGAACGTCTGCTGGGTACACTGGCAGCCTTTATTGAATTTGTTTCTGGTATAAGAGTGTTGAACTTGTTGCATTTCAAAGCTGAAAAGCAGTACAAAGGAGAAAGAAGTAATTCATAACTTGATTTTTTCCTATTGATTCATCTGCTGGTCAGTTCTGAAACCCTGAACTCTCATTTCATCTGGTCTTCTCCTGAAAGCATAGAAGGGAATGCCTGATTATTTGATATACTCCCCAGGGTCAGCTGATATAACTCGTGTCACTGTATAATTGAAGAGGGAGTCTGGGGGAAATTTGAGCCTGCACAGAATTCAGGGATAATATTAGTGAGGAGTGGTCTAGGGAAATGGAACATCCCTGGGGGTCTTTAAGGCCAGGCTGGAGGAGGCTCTGGGCAGCCTGATCTAGTGGGAGGTGTCCCTGCTCATGGCAGAGGGGTTGGAACTGGGGGATCCTTGTGGTCCCTTCCAGCCCTGACAGATTCTGATCTGTTTTAGGAGAGGACTTTAGAGCCCTAATGGCTCAATGGTTGGACTTGATGATCTTGGAGGTCCCTTCCAACCTAAAGGATTCTATGATTCTATGGTCCCACTATTATCAGGCTACACAATGACGCATTTTGTTCCCTCCTAGAGAGATACTTGTACACAGGCAGACATCTACCAGTGTTCACCTGTTTCCTTAAGAACTTTCACATCGCTTTCTGATTATTTTCTCCAAAAAGAACCACTGACACCACCCTGCACAGGGCCGCGCTCTCCCACGCGAATCTTCTGCTCCTATCAGCAACGTCCCTCCAGTGTCCGATTCCCCCCCCAAAAAAAGAAGAAGAACAGTGCTGTGAGCAGCAGCGCCCACCTTGCTGTCTTTTTTTTTCGGAGGGGGAGCGGCTGCACTTTGAGGCTGTCGTTGACCACGGAGACGGCGGCGCTGGTGCCGAGGGGCGCGGCCTTGCCGGGGGAGGTGGAGATGATGGCGTAGGCCACGCCCGCGCCGCTCAGGGG